CTGCCAGACTTGGCTCCCCTGACTCCTTTGAGGCGTCTGGCTGCAGGCAAGTATGACCCTGAGGATAACACAGCAAGGCACGGGGATTTTACCAGATAAAGACCCCAGCTCCACCCATTTGTACTCAAAACCTGCAGGACTCTGGAGGAATGTTAGCCCTTTGGTCTAGTTTGGCCCCTATGCTCCAAGCCTGATTTAAGCACAGACCACTTCAGCTTCAAAGATGCCTTCTGGAGGTTTTGCATATGTATAATTCTTATTCCAAAGCTTCCCCCCTCCAGTTCTCTGTTTACCCTATAGGCTTTTATTTAAAAAACAGTACAGTCAGAGCATTGCAATTTTTTTCATTTGAAAGAGATGTTTGAAATTTATTTTTTTTGCACTGGGAAAAAACTTTAAAGTGTATCATATTAAGTCAATTGGCTCTTCACATTTTTTTTAAGCTTCCCCTCTACCACCTTTGTTAATTACCCACCATTTGAACAAGGGTCTTCTCCTGCCTTGATCCTGCCGTGAAATCATGATGCTATATTTGTCTTTCTAACATCAAAGTCATTTCCATGGTCACCAACTGTGATGTCATAAACACATTTTTAATGGCTTGTTTACAGCAGGGAACAGAAGGAGAGAAGAGATTATGGGTGGAAGGAAACTCTTATCGATACACAACAGTTTTAAGCACAACTGTGAGGCTAAGGCATGCAGAAAACTTGAAGTCAAGAAAAAATCCTTGCTGAAATAGCTTCTCTTCTGAAGTTCGTCCCAGCACAAAAATCCCTTTTTAAGTTACTAGTGAACCAGCAATCCCAGTGGATTACTATTATTTTAGTCAGCTCAGAGTTGGTACTTTCTAAGCTTGGAAGACAGCAAATCCATGCCCCAATCCATCCATCTCACTGTATAAATGAACACACCCAACACACACCCAATGACTCCCACAGAAGTGCTTGGACAGGACACAGTGGGATCTGAGCATTATTGGCCCATAGTTGTACTTGGCTCGAGTCACAGTAAGAATTAGAATTCCCCCAAGAGACACCTCAGTTGGACCAGAAGGTCCCCTTTTCTCCAGTCATGGCTGTGAGACCCCATAGCTGGTCCTCCCTCTACACAGGGGTTACCACGTGCAGTCAGTCACTCAGGAGAAAGGTTCTCTTTCAGCAAAGATGCCAGGACAAACTTGGGATTTTGGCCACAAAAAGAGTAGGCTACATGACCTCACAGCCCAGCCTAACTCCCCAAAAGACCCAAAGCACCCCAATTCTGTCCTGGAGGTCATTGGAGAGGTTGCCAGGTGATGGTTTTGAGATGCTCTTGGACACCCCTGGCCGATGGAGATTGCTGTGGTCAGCCAAAGAAACCAGCACGGAGCACAGCTGTAGGAAGGATGGAGCCAGGCTCCTCTTGGTGGTGCTGAGCAATAAGACAGGAGGCAATGGGCAGAAAACAATGCACAGAAGTTCCACCTGAACACGAGGAAGAATTTCTTTACTGTCCAGGTTACCACACACTGGAACAGTTTGCCCAAAGAAGCTTGGAATCTCCCTCCCTGGAGATGTTTAAGAACTATCAGGATGCAACCCTGTGCAATGTGCTCTAGGATGAGAGTGGGGAAGTGGGACCAGAGAACCCACTGTGGTCCCTTCCAACCTTACCCATTCTGTGATTCTGTGAAACACAAAACCTTGCTGCCACCTTCTCAGGGGATGTCGGGAAGGGACAAGGAAGGGCTGACCCACCCCTGAGTCAGCAGAGGAGCTGCAGAAGTCTCTGCTTGGAAAAGATTTTTCAAACTGGGTTCCCAGTTAGCTCCAGGATGTCCCTGCTCTCACAGCCTGCCAGGACCACAGCCATCCCAGGGATACCTGCTGTGGGAGCCAGGCTCTGTACAACCTGCCATCTCCCTCCACAGCCATCCTCTTCCAGGCAAAATCCTCAAAACTCTTTCCAGAGCATATAGGAAGAAGGACTGGGACTACTTGAAGGTGGAGCCATCCCTGGCACTTGGCTGTCTTAGAGACACCACGGCAAGACATCCCTGTACATATGCTCTGAGGAGATTATCTCCCTGCCCCTACCCAAAGAAAAAATGAGACGGGCGGGGGGGGGGGGGGGGTGGGAACTCACTGGACGATGAAATTCCTAAATCCTCATCCCATGAGAAGAATTAATATAGCTCTTTCTCTGCACCAATCCCGGGAGCTCCCCAGTAGGAGATCCTTTTGTACATCACACAGCAGCAAGGGTACATCTTTCAGCAAGCTCTCTTCCAGAGTGAGCGCAGTCCCTGGCACGCAGGAGCCGGGATTTCACACACCCTATTCATCACCGAGGTACGGAACAAGCGGCCACCATTTTGCTGCAGTCCCACAGCAGGAATAAAATGGTGGCATAGATGAAAACTGCCAGATCAAACACGATCCAGTTGCCTGTCACCACCTGCAGCTCTTCTCCGCCTTACATGTAACGCTGAATTCTTAATCAGGTTAATATTTGATTTCTGGGTGCTTAAACAAACACACACAAAAAAAACCCCACCACAAAAAAACTCACAACAAAAAGAATATAATACTATAACAGATGATTAACGTTGCAGCCACGAAGTACCGAGATGCAAACTACTGATGTTAGAATTTACATTTCCCCCACAAAATGGCAAGTCTGCATGCTGTTGTTTTTTCATGACTGGTTCACCCAGAGCCCCCAAGAATGAGTAACTGGACACATGTTCAACATGCAAAGGGCTCAATATCTTTTCTAGTACCTTTTGAGAAATGTTAGCTGGCTGAGAAAGGCAGAAGTGTTCAATTAGCTGCTCTTAAACAGCCCCTTCCCCACGTTACACCAAATTGATGCCTAAATACACGGACTTTTCGAAAGGCATTCCTGGAGGACGAAAGGAAAGTAGGCACACACTGGGTTCCCAGGGAGGACAGTTAATCCAGATCAGGCAGAAGAGGGTTTGATTTTTATCTTTGTTATTTGCACATTTCTTCTGCTCATACACACAGTAAAGCTACCCTAAAGCTGAGCCTAAGCACCAGAACAAGTCCCAGGTCCCTGGACTGGGACAGACACAGGTTCCTCACACTTAACAAGAGACCAACCACAAAATTAAATTCATTTCTGTCTGTGGAGAATCTTGTTCTGTGTTCAGCTTTGGGTTTAAATAATAATTTCACTATAGTATACAAGGAATAGATTATCACAAAGAACTTCATTTTTCAACCAAAAAGAAGCAGTGTAACACCTAACAGCAATTCTTCCCAACAGCACAAATTACCTTCAAAATTAAAGCTTATATAATCTCTTTAGAGCACAGTGCACACTAAAAATTCCTTATTTCTATCTTTCACAGTCAACAACTGGAACAAAATATTTCTTGGCTTACACTTTTTGACTGGTTTGATTTGTACAGGCTGTAGATTTGCTGCATTCTGCTCTTCTAAAACTACATAATTCAGTAATGGAACACACGCTGTTGGATTCTGCTTCACAGTTACTTGTTACCTTTATTTCTACATTAATTCTATGAATCAAATATTGCAAATTAATTACTGAAGTGATAAAAAAAAATAATTTCAGTAATTTGTAAGACATCTGTTACATGTCTTAGAGATTTCTTGATCTTTCTTTATCTCATATATATGTTTACATCTGATAATTCAACTATTACCTCAAAATATATCAAAATATATCAAAATATATCAAAATATATCAAAATATATCAAAATATATCAAAATATATCAAAATATATCAAAATATATCAAAATATATCAAAATATATCAAAATATATCAAAATATATCAAAATAAATATATCAAAATATATCAAAAGACTGCAGAAACAAGAAAAGTCTGACTGAATTGATAGGAAAAAAACCAACCAAACAAACAAAACCAAACCTAAAATCCCACCATACTTTTCTTTACTGGAAGTCCTTGGCTGAGCAGATGAAGCCTCCATCATGCAAGGAGTCATTACATTCAGTCCAGTATTTTATTTCAGACTATCAGGTACTGCAGATCACTGGAATGGGCAAAGAAGGGGAGTTTCCATTGCCAGCATTGCCACTTCTGGGGTAAAGATGAGCTTAAAGCTTAAAGATGAGGGAAAAGATTCAAGCTGGATCATTTCAGAGCATTCTCTCCCCTGAGGAAGGTACAATGTGAGTTGACGGGGACTTTTCAGAGGCGAGAATTAGGAGCGGTGCTTTCTCAGTGCTTGATCTCCCAGACTACAAAACCCAGTCTTGCAAAAAGGCAGGCTTTGCTGCCATATAATAGTCCAAGTTTAGCCTAAAACATAAATGGTGCCTAACACAGTGCTAAATAGGGAAGCTGTTTCTGATGTATTGTGTCCCTGCTTTTCCCTTCTCCGACACACAGCAGAGATGCCAAATAAAACAGCAGAGTTGAACAGCTCGTGCCCGTGTAGGAGTCTGGCTTGCAGGTATTTGCCACAGTTTGCAAGAGAGGGGTAAAATCTGACCATAAAGTGAATTTCCACAGAACAATGCAAAGACACTAATGGAATTTTGGTTTTAGCATTAATCAGTGCTAAGGGAAAAATCCTTAGTAGAGGTGATCAGCTAGAGGATGCCAGGTTGGACAACATGTAAATGTACCTTAACCTGCAGCAGAAGTTGTGGAGATCTGGGTGCAGATTTCTAAAGAGCCAGCAGGATTTCCCCCAGGCTAGGTTTAACACAGCTACACCAGTTGGGATATCCTTGCTAGCACAAGACCCTCATTTCCCTTTATGTGTTGCTGCCTTTGGCTCGCCCTAATTTTGCTGTGCATCTTTTACATCATTTCCATGACATCCCTAAATGAGTCTGCCAGAGTCTTAACTTGGGCTTCCTGACCCAGCTTTCCCGAAGGGTTTCAGGGAAAGAAAAGGAAAACAAACAAAGAAACAAACAAAAGGAAATTCTGGCAACAAATAATCCTTCTGCAGAAAACATCACACAGCTGTGTTATCATCCCAAAATCCTTACCTCTCACCCCAGAGACCCACATGATGCTTTTGGGAGCAAGCAAGTGCTGAGAGAGGCGCAGCAGTCATTCAGAAGCATGAAAGGTTGTCCCATCATGCAGGCATTAGGACTTACTTCCATTTTATTACTCATTTGAGCCTAGAACTTCCACATGCATCTACCTGCAAGGTGCTGGGGGAAAGATGTGCTTTCAGGAGAAGCTTGAAGGAGAAGGCAATGGTGGAGAGAGGTGGAGGCTGTCCCAGGAGGAGGCTATCAGTCAGCAGACATCACCCACAGGTGAAATCAACTGCTCATCCTCAGCTTCTGTTTCCAAATGTGATGCAAACATGGAGAAAGGACGCTACTTGGCAATGTTTTTCACAAAAAAATATTAGAAATAATGTTTTTGAGCATTTGGTTTGTTAAATGGGACATTTTGCTTAATAAAGAGAAGGCAAAATGTCAGTGTATTATTATATTGGATGTAAGAAGGGATGATTAAAATTCTCCTGTATATTGAGCAGCCTCAGAAAATGCCCATCACAGAAAATGCAGCTGGGCATTTCCACCACACCCTGGGAGAGCAATCTGACAGCCAAAACTCAGCAGCAAAACTCAGTGCCAAAAAAAACCCTTTCTGATTTAAAATACAGGAGGATTAACACTGAAGTTACTAAATGAATAACAACCATGAGGGAAAATATTGAATAACTTTGCTTTGGCTTGCTGCGCTTTTCTGAGAAAGCTGCAAAAGGAAATTTGTAGGGGGAAACAGTTTATGCTGCTCCTGGAGGCGGCCATCTGGGATGCTGAGATTAGTATTTTAGATTTCTATTATCTGAAACTCCACTGGCAGACTCTGTAAAAACGAGTTTATAAATTCTGTAGTGGGGTTTAAGTAAAACTATTTTATCTAGGGACTAAGAAATATGTGTAATTACCGTAGGTGGATAATGCTTTTTCATTGCCATTCACCAAAATTAGTTTACCAGATATTATTCCTAAGAGGTATAATTAAAATCAACATAAAATCCAGAACACAGTGAAAATAAAACATTAGGAGATAATGTCTTTAAAATTACTAGACCAAACAGTCCTCTCTGCACTGCAGTACAAGCGTAATCACTCTCTGGCTGGTAGTGTTTGTTTTCCCTGAACAGGGGTGCCTTGAACTCCCAGGCTTCCCAGGCGAGCTGTTACTTTGCAGCCCATTGTAAGAAGCAGATATTTAATAACTCTCCATATTAAGCTCCCTCCCTAACAAGCAAACGAGAGAACTTCATTGAATGCAGGGTTTTGACACCGCATTTGGTCTCTGTGTTATTCCCTAAGCTTCCATTGAAAGCAGACTGGAAACCTCCACGGGTTTTTAGGCAGGTTCAGATCTGGACCCATGTACCTGTCGTTAACTCCTGCCCTGGCAAAATGTCCAGGGATGAAAATGGGACTCGTGCCAGGGTTTTCTTCCCTGCTACTCAGTGTTAAATCCCATACTGAATAGCAGGAGAGGCATTTTAGAGCCAGGTATTTGTACCAGATGTTTAATCCCATTTTCTGTTCCTACAGAAGACATAACATGATGTTAGGTGCCACCTCTTGTTACGAATGTCTGGCCATCCTTGTTAATGAAAGATTGTGTTTTCTTTTTGCAAATGTTATTAAGCAAAGAACAAACTGATTGTCTAAATTGATTAAGCAGATTCATTCCAGTGAAAAATTTATTATTTGCCTGGTTCATTTCATCAAATCAGTTCAGAGGAAAAAGGCTCCATGAATTAAACTAATCACAAATATATATTTTAAAATCCTGCCGTTACTGGCAGGATACAGTTAGAGCAGTCAATCATTGGGACAATAACTGAATTTTAAAGCAGCATCTTGCATTGCTTCTCAGAATCTTCTCTGCTTTTTTTTTTTTTTTTTTTTTTTCAGAAAATTGGTGTTTGGGGGAAAAATTCTTCCCCTATTTAGTCCTATACATTTGGAATAAGCATCTGTGGGTGCCCAGGAGTCATTCTTGGGGACAAGAAAGCCAAAATATTTCACTGGCATTTCCTATAAAACAGCAATCATACACTAAATAGAAAGCTAACTGTGATAGATTAATAAGAATTTCTGAGTGCTTCAGTCCAAGCTCTTGAAAAAACACATATTTTTAAAAATAAAATGGAATTAATTTATTAGACTGAACACACACATTCATTAGGCTCACTCACATTGCTGTCAGAGAAGGTTTCTGTATAATCTCTTGCAGGACACAGATGGAAAAGTCAAGCCCAGAATGCTAATATTCAATTCAGTTAAAAAGAAAGATCAACCATCACATTTATATTTCTCCAGCAAATTATAGATGAGCTTTGGGCTTTTTGTGAATGGATATGTGTACACAGACACACACATATTTCGTAGATTTTTTTTCCCTACAAAGGTAACTTTGAAACCATCATTCAAGAAGAATCTTTTGTTATTGTCTAGATCTTTGCAAAGAGATTTGTCACGGATGGCTCACTAAAAGCACACAGGTCTCACTTAACAGTTGATCTAAGAAAAATAATTCTCCAAGGTTTTTTTTTATTTATATCCTGTGATCCCAGAGGTACAGCAGCATCACTGCCAGGATCCCCTCTTGGTGTGGCCATGACCCCTCTACCACATATTCATCTCTGTCTCAGGTTAACAATTCAGAATAATATTTTCTGACCATTCCTGCTTATATTCAGTCCCACAGCTCTTTGATGATGCCAGTTTCAAGCAGCTCCAAATAGGCCTGTCTTGTGCTGAACTTTGTGAGAACAATTTGGCTGGCACCCATGGTTCAACACACAGGCACATGTACAGCAACATACACTTATAATTACAGTTCACTGGTCTCCTCTTCCTTTTCCAGCAGCTTTTCTCTAAAAACAAGGGGAAATTTTGCCTCTGCCCATTGTGCCCACAGGACTGAATGGGGTGGGTCTTTGTTGTGCAGCCAATGCCTCAGCACCTGCACTTGCCATCAGGTGGATTTTGGTGTCTTAAACAAAGGAAGATTTTATAACAGCACAGAGCTAGAGCAAAAACTATAAACACAGGGGCATGAGCAATGATTTAAAGGCATGCAGCACAGGCAATAGCAGCAAAGCTCAGAAAGCTCACAGCTAGGAAGGAAAAAGAAACCTCATACACAGAACAGCATTGCAAAAAGAATTTAGTGCTTTGAAAAACACAGCAACGAGAGCTCTGAGGACTTTACCCCTCCCCTTCCTGCCAGATGGGAGCTCCTCCATCCTCACCCCACCAGGGAGGGGGACAACAACATCATGAGTGTTCCAGGTGCTGCCAGCCCTAGGGAGGCTCAAGGAAAGGAACAATCCCCCCCCCATAGCTTCACACGGAGCCCCCAGGCCATCGCCCTATCCCCCCTTGCTGGGAAGGGAGCCACAGCCTCTCACCAAGCAGAGCTGCAAACAGCAGTGCAGAAGGGCTGAAGCTGCCCAGATAAGCCATAATCCATCAGGTTCCCTGTGGGGTTCCCTGCTAGGACTCTGGGATGGTCAGGGAGACACCACCTGCCCCAGCAGCACCCACCAGTGCCCCACAACTCCCCACACTGAGGGGCACAGGACCCTGCCAGCATCTCACCTATGCCATGCTCCCCATCGAGCCATTCATGAGCCTGTTCTCCGGATAAGCAAGTGTTTTGATTAGGACTTTGACAAGCAAGCAAACAATGACAGTTGAGAAAATAAACCAACACTCTCAATAACAGAAGTTTCCTTCAAAATCTTTGTCACATCCTGCTAAACACCCTCAGTGTGTATTCACACTGTCACTTTCAAGCGTTTTCCCCATATTCTACTGAACTGGGGTCTGTAATGTCTGTTTAATGGTACCTTGTGTGCTGCCATACTCTGGCTGTGCCAAGGGTGGGGTGCAGTAATAGGTGTGCCTGGGAAGGTGCTCATGGCACAGCCAAAATGGTGTGAGCAGAGCACAGCCACTGAGCTCACCCTGCCTCCACAGCTGAAGGTGCCTTTCCAGGCTGTATCGCAGCAGGTACCAGGGAACGTGCCATCTCATCACCCCTTTATTATATCCCCTTGCACTTTATCCCTGTGGGTTCAAAGAATCCAGAGAAAATCAAACCTCAGTCCAGTTTCTTTTTTTTTCCTTAATATTTTTTTCTCCGTTTCAAGGTTTTTAAGCCATTCCCACAAAGTTGCACAGCCTGAATTGTGATTTCAAGGGCAATACCAACCACTCATGGGATCAGCACAGTTAATGAAAGTCTCCAATTTATGGGTTCAGAGTTAGCAAAGCAGGGGAACGGGGACAGACCAGCGGCTCAGAAGTGAGAGCCTCACCTCTTTCTGAAACCAGACTGAAAAATCTCATGGTAAGAGACAACCAAAGAGACAACTCTAGACTTAATGGGCTGTTCATTGGAAATGACAAGTCAGAGGTACATGCCATTTCTTACAGCAAATGCTGAAACAGAGGAAGACAAGCAGCAGTCACATACCCACTCTGGGCTCCCCAGGACTCTGGACAGTGTCCCACAACACATCAGGTCCATCACACCTGCTCCAAGGAGGGCAACATGATGGGATGTTTCAGTCATAGGCTGGAGCTCACCATTCCCACTGCCAGTATGGCTGCTGCCAAGAGATGCTGATGGCCATAACAGGTGTTTGATGCAATCCCCTGTGCTCCATCACTTCAAAGCCAAATCTGGTCTCAGTGGAGGAAAAGCAGATTTATTTGGGAATGTTTAAGTAACTGCCTTACCAGTTACTTAGTGACATCCATGCTCAACTACTTAACTGCTCAGAGTGAAAAAACCCTTAGTCATTTAATTTAAAAACCTGCATATTGACCATTCTGATTGTTTTTATTCTCCCAAGGAATAGAAAACACCTTCAGACCGCATTTGCCAGCCAAGCCAGTTTCCCCTTCCTTATGGCATTAAAACCAGGGCAGTGTTCCAGAAGGTGGGAAGGATGGAGCCCCTGGGAGACAACACCCAGGTGTCCTGGGGGCTGCCCACAGGGCACAGGGCAGAGCAGAGATGCCGAGGTGCCAGGTAAGAGGTCTGCCAGCTCACACTGCACTGCTGACAAAGCCTGCTGCCAGCTGGGAACTAACACAAATTGGAACTGACAGAGAAACGTGACAAATTCATTATTAATAGCACAACTATTTTTTAATACGTAGAAGGCTGTACTAGATTAATAAAAACAGGCTTTTATATTCCTCTCTGACAGCAGTGATGGTGTGTGATCTCCAGAAAAGCGAGTGCTACCTATGCTGTCTCTGGCTGGCATGGGGATGCTGAGCTGGATTCGTCAGGGACAGGATTTCTCTCCAGGACATTGCAACTCCTGCACGCTCCAGAAGGTCACGCAGGCTGACTCTGTGGCAGGGTG